ATTTGAAGAATTTTGTTTCAACAATGAATCAATCAGCAATGAATGAATTTAATGAAGAACTTAATTCTCAAGCAAATTTTCGAAAATATTTAAATGAATTTACAGTAAATCTTCCTGTTATAACAATCGATAGTATTAAATTACAATTATCAACATTAATTCATCTTACTCAAACAACAAATCAATTAACAAGAAAAACTCTCGTAAATATATGAATTCTCAATTCTTTCATTCTTACATTTTTATCACACATAGATGATGATTTCACTTAAATGTTATCAATTATCAGAAATTCTTCATTCATTATCAACAAAAATTCCCTATGAAGATGTTCAAATATCAAGTCAACAACTTCTTCAATGTGCTGCAAATGTTTTAACAGTAAGAAAAAGAGAAAATAAAGTCAACATTTCCATTTGGATCGATTTAATTTAGGGTGTAAATGGAGTTTTATAATAAAGAACAAATGTCTTAAAATCAGATTTTGATAGTTCAACAAAAATATCTGATGATTATGATACAAATTTAGATTCTGATTGGTCTAATTTGATTAAGCAACTTGATATTTGTTGATGTAAATAATTTGTTTTTTCATAAAATTATTTGCTGATGGAAATGATTTTTCAATGGAAAAAATCAATGAAAATCGAAATAGATTTTATCAAGAAAAATTAGCAAATGAAATCGTGAATGAAGTCAATCAGATCGTCTCGTTAGTCACTTCATCATTAAATATTCATTTAAATATTGGTCAAAAGATGATAATCAATACCTCAAAAACATTTGTCTCATTCGAAACAATTTCAATTGAATCACTTTTCAATAAACAAGTGAAACAAGTTGGAGGAGTTGAAATTCATCTTTCATCAAATCTAACATTATCATTTAACAACAATTCATCAGTTTCTCTTCGAGCGAGTATTTATTTAATAAATATCTCTTCACCCTTTATCTTTCTCTTTTAGTCAATGATGAAACGATTAGCTTCTTATGATAAGAATTCAAATACAAATCTTTCCACAATGTTTTCTTTAACAATTCTCGATCGAAATGGAAATAAAATTCCATTTCAAACATAAAAACAAAATCCAATTCGGATAATAATTCCACGAGATCCAAATCTTGTTATTCCACCAATGATTTATCATAATGTTTTATCATTCAATTCTACTCCTCATAATCAAACATTTCATTATCATTTTGTTAATATCACATCTCTTTTACAAATTTCAATTCATATTGAATTTCAACCATTGAATCTCAACGTATCTTATTTATTAATTTACAAATTTGATCAATGTCCGCGATTGAATAATTCAATAAATCAAATTGATGGATGGAATTTATTTTGTTGATCTGAAGAGAAGAAGAATTATGCTCATTTCATTGATAATCAACAAACATCAGGTCATCAAACATTAATCTTTGGTTTACGAGAATTAAATTCAATTGAAATGAATAATTTTTGTTCAAATTTATCAAATAATAAAACTTGTCGAATTCCAATTGAATCCGTTCATTTCACATTAGATTACCAAATGAGAATCTTTTCATCTGATTGTTATTATCTTAATGAACAAAATCAATGGAAATCTGATAAATTAATCGTTGGCTCAAATACAAATTCTAATGACACAGAATGTTTTCAACACATTTAACAAAATTTACAAGTGGATTTTTAATTTTACCTAAAATGATTGATTGGAAATATGTTTTTAATAATGCAGATTTTCATCAAAATAAAACAATTTATTTAACTGTCATTACTGTAACAGTCATCTATATCATCCTCATGATTTATGCTTGAAAGCATGATAAAAGACATTTAAAAAAATTAGGTGTTACACCATTATCTGATAATCGATCATAAGATCATTATTATTATCAACTGATTGTTTTTACTGGACAAAGAAAAGATTCTGGAACAACATCAAAAGTTCATTTTGTATTATATGATGATAAATGTGTCACTCGTATTCGAACATTTGATCATTTAAAACGAAAGATCTTTCAACGTGGTGGAATTGATTCATTTATAATGTCTGTTCCAAAGTCTTTGGGATTATTAAATTGTCTTCGTATTTGGCATGATAATTCTGGTGAAAATTCATTTGCATCTTGGTTGCTTAAATTTATCATTGTTCGAGATTTATAAACAATGGAAAGATTTCATTTTATTGCACAATGATGGTTTGCTGTTGAAAAAGATGATGGAAAAGTAAATATTTTTTTCTTTTGGTAAATTTTTATATTTCTTTCTGTATTTGAATAGATTGAACGTGTTTTTCTAGCTGCAAATGAAGAAGAAAAGAAAGAATTTTCGTATATTTTATCAAAGGAAGCTTTTCATAGTTTATCTGATGGTCATTTTTGGTTTTCAATCTTTTCTCGGCCACCATCAAATCAATTTACACGTGTTCAACGTTGCACCTGCTGTTTTGTTTTACTTTTTGTTTCCATGTTATCAAATATCATGTATTATGATTTATCAAATGAAGCTAAAGTGAATAATTCAACAAGTCTTTCATTTGGAACATTTTCCATCACATTCAATCAAGTAAAATTATCTTCTTTTTAATTTCTGTTTGTATTTCTTTCTTCATTTAAGCTTTTAATTGGTTTGATGAGTGAGTTAATTTCATTGATTCCAGGTATTTTATTAATTCAAATCTTTCGTCGTCTTCGATCTCATCATCAACGAATTTCACCATTAGCAAAAGTTTTTCATCAAATCAAACCAACAACAAAAATTGTAAAAAAAAGAAGAAGTGTTCCATAATATTTCCATTGTGGTGTTTATTTATTGCTTATGGAATATCTCTTGTATTAGTTATAGCATCGATATTCTTTATTATTGCACGTGGAATTAAATTTGATGATGTGAAAAGTCAACAATGGTTAATATCAGTTCTTTCATCATTTTTTTCATAAATTCTTCTTACTGAACCAATTAAAGTAATATCATTCTCTTCAATGATCTGACTATGAATGCTTTTCTTTTAAATAGATTTTATTTTTGGCAATATTTTTTTGCATTTTTTTGGTCAAAAATCAACAAATGAAGAAGATGAACAAGTGAAAGAATATTTGGATGAAAATCAACTTGTTCTTAATCAAGATGAAGAATATCTTCACCGATCGATTGAAAATCGACCATCATTTCGTCCAAATCGATTAACTTCAAATGAAATAGCTTGTGCTCGTCAACTTCGTCTTCGTGAATTGCAAATCTGGTCAATTGTTCGAAAAATCTTTGTTAATATTTGTTTTTTATCACTTTTATCAATAATTGTTTATTCAAATCATAATGAAACTGCATCATTTCAAGTTCAACATCTTCGAAAATCATTTCATCATTTTCAATTGAAAATTTTATCGATCAATGAATATTGGAACTGGTTAGAAGAAGATTTTATTGAAAATCTTCGTGCACAAAAATGGTACAATGGAAAGAAAGTTAAATATCTTTTCATGGTTATCTTAATGATACATCAAATCGAATTATTGGTTGGGCTATAATGAAACAATCGAAAATTCGAACACAATCATATCCAAAACAAATCAAAATCAATTCAATTTGTCGAAATGATTTTAGTTCATCAAATGAAGAAAAACATTCATTTTCACCTGGATGAATTGAACATTCAAAAGAAATATTTCATTCATCAATATCTCAATCATTTATTTATAGAGCAGATGATCATGGATATGTGTATTAATTTCGTGGTTCATTATCAAATCTTCGAAATAATCTTAGTGAACTTCATCTTGTCGGATGGACTGATCAACAGACACGTTTAATTGAAATACAAATGTCACTTTATAATCCAAATGTTCAATTATTTACTTTTGTTACTCTTCAAACTGAATTTCATTCAACAGGAAGTATTCATTTTCAATCACGATTTGAACCAATTCATTTCTATGGTAATTCTTTCTCTTTTTTGTCAACTACAGAAGATAATTCTCCTTCGCTTTTAGCTTTTACATCTCTTCTTCAATTGATTTCTATAATTATTTATTTAATTTTAATTCTTTACTTTATTTGGAATGAAATTCAATCAATTTTAGAATTAAAATAGAAATATTTCTTTCATTTTTGGTCAATTATTGAAATTGGTTTAATAATTTGTTCATGTTCATCTATTGGAATTTCATTTTACTCGATATAAAATTTCCAAAGAAATTGGTAAACTTTTACCGAGAAGGTCAAGGTGATATTTACATTAATTTACAAAAATCAGTTTATATCAATGATCTTCTTACTTATTTTAATGACTTTTGTTGTTTTTTTTTGTACAATTAAATTTCTTCATTTATGTCGATTTAATCGTCGTTTATCGTTATTCAGTGAAATGCTTCGCTTATCGGCAAGAGAATTCATTTCATTTTCATTTATGTTTTCAATAATATTCATTCCATTTCTTAGTTTATTTTATCTTTTATTTCTTTCAAAATTAAATTCATGTTCAACTTTATTCAGAACATCCCAAATGTTATTTGAAATGATTTTTCTTAAATTTGATTCAAATCAATTATGAAAAGCAGGGACATTTCTTGGTCCATTTACATTAACTTTATTTATTCTCATTGTTGTTTTTATCTGTTTAAGTATGTTTTTATCAATCTCTCTCTCTCTCTCACCTCAACATGCAAAAAAATATGCAAACTGCTCTAATAAACGAAAATATATTAATATTGATAACGTGGAAGAGGAAATAATTACTTTGATTTTTTTTCCTAGTTCTATCAACCGGTATAGCTAAGTGTTTTGAGGTCAACATTCAAGCATCAAAATAATAAGTAACTAAAAAATGTATGACAAATGAAATGTATTTATTTCTCAGATAAAAAAATTACCAAAAAAGATATGTTTATATCCTTTTTATGATAACGTATGAATGTGGAGTAGAGCAACATCAGTTTGAAATGAAAAGAAAACGTTAAAGAAGATAGATAAGAATTATTTGAATCAATATGCATGTCTTTTTGTATGTAATCATACGGTCAACGCATGTTATGAAATCTTGCATACTTTCTAATAAAATTTATTTTATTTATCGATTAGATAAATCAGTGATTTTAATATCATACAATTTGAACATCATCATTTTGCCGATGATTGCTCGAATCAAGTAATAACTGTTTCATATAAAACACACCTATGCTGATCTAAATATAATTTTCTATCAAAATCGTATGCATTTCAATTTTATCATAATATAAAATTTTTCTTCTCGAAAAATCTCGATTTCACTTCTCTTTCCACATTCAATTAAGCAAGTCTTATCGACTAACAAAGTTTATATGACTGAGTACCTTCGCGATTGTTTGATAATGTCACAGAGCTGCCAGTCTGGTCTGATGCCTGGCAGGCAGGCAGGCACCTGCCACGCCACCAGGCCAGGCTGAATTTTGAAATTTTAGCCTGACTTGATCCGTCCGAACAATATAGAAAAACAGTAACTAGAAAAATTACAATAATAAATTCCGAGAACACTCAGTCGGGTCGCGTTAACTTTGCCAACAAAATTTGTCGATATATTAGCCCACTAAATCTAGTCATTTCTTCGGTAGGTACCCAATGATAGATTTCGGGCTGAGAGTGAAAGAAGAAACAACACTCAAGTGGACGTACCAGCTGAAGGTAAAGATTAAGTCTTGTATGTTAAATAATATGGATGACTAATGTTTCTTTTGTTTTCGATTTACTTATCTGTACATGTGGACTGGAACGATATATGTAACCAAAGAAAAGAATATAAACAACATTGACTAAAGTAAAACCTCCCATAGTGAACACCTCCTTATTATGAACAGTGAACACTTTTTTGTAGTTCCTTTTGCTATTATAACCTCTCTAATATGAAGATGTTATTTTGACCTCGTTTCCTTTTTTTTCTCGTCTGCTCTTATGCACTACGATTAAATACATTTTAGAAGTGATTCAATTGTTGTATGTGTCAAATAAAGAATGATAACACGTCACGAGCTCATCCTTCAATAAAAAGTACAATCAATTTATGACAGCAGCGATAGTAATGGCTTGTCACAATTAAATTGACCGAAAAATATGAGACTTCATTTGATTCAGTATCAAATTTTTTAAAACACACAACAGAATATTCAAATGATGATCAGATAACTTAAGAGAGGGTCCATGAGAATAGCACCCAATTTTATCAACATGGGCATATGATGAATTTTAAAAACATGATTTTATTCCATAAAATGAAAGATCATGTTGGAAAACCTACAAATCCAAAATTTCAGCTCATTCCCATGGATTCTTGAAGAGTTATAGAGATAACACGGTGATGTGTCCAAATGCTATTGAGTCAAAATATCGAAATTTTCATTTTGGTGGTATTTCATCGATTTCTTCTCTAAAACTTGTACATAACTTTTGTTGTAATATCTCAAAAGATAGAGAATTTTTCACTCTATCAAATGCTGTATAAAGATATTTTCTTCATACCTTCTCAGGTGCGCTGAGTCCCGATATATTGGGTAGTCGACTAGCCAAAAATCGAGTTGTGTACCAGTATTTTTAGCAAAACAGTATCAAGAACGGCTTGTCCCATTTTTTTTAACTCCAGATTCTGAAAGAGCATCAAAACCTTCGTCGACTGATATATATTTTAGAGGTTTTCAGCAACTTTCATTTTTCTCAAAAAATTCAGCTGGAGTCCCCCTCAGGGTCCTGCTGAAAAGTGCATTGTTCTACAAAACCATTTGAACAGTGAAAAACGAGTTCTGAGGTTATAAAAAGTTAGTAGAATATAAAAGGGCGCATGTCTACAATAATCTAAAGAACAAAAACGACTTTCTAATAAAATGCACTTTTCAGCAGAACTCTGA